ACACACACACACACACACACACACACACACACACACACACACACACACACAGAGCACACACATACCTTCCAAGGAACAAGAGGAAGGTAGAATCTCAACATCTGAATTTAGCTTCTTCAAAAATAGTGACTTAAAACGGTGCTGTTTAAACGCAATTAAAGCTCACAGTCTTGAGTATTTTTAAATCAAATGGTGCTTTTTACATTAAGAAATATTATTTTTTGCCACTCCCCACTTCAGATGCAAGTGGGATTGGGTTTGTCTTTTAAAAATCCATCTCTTCCTAGACAGCAATTTGCTTTGTAAATTTTTTCATTTCCCCAAAGAGTCCCCCCCGACCCCCCTCTGGTTGGCGATAACAAAAGAGCTCATGGAGGTAATAATTACAGCCATTAGTTGACAAAGGAGGCCGCCCAGACCGGGAAGGCTGTTACCAGGAGAAGGCTTTCCAAGGTTTCCCATATAATGTGGGAGACCCACACCAAAATCTCCAGCATAACCCACAGAAAGGTGTCCTGGGACGACCCATTCCTTGTCCACAGTGCGTCCAGAAATCCCCGTGGCAGGTGGGACCAAAGAAGGGCATTTGGTACAAGTTTCCCCGTGTCCCTTTGGTGCTTAAATATCCAGGGACCGAGAAAGTTTAGATGGAAAGAAAAAGGGATGGAAACAGCTATGACCTTGCAATCTTCCACCAAGGGCTGGCTACTTCCGTTTACATCTTATTTAACCCGGAGTGCAGGGGCTGGGCAGAGCTGTTTGTCGCCTCTCTACCCAGAAATTAACATGCCTTTGCTGATACTCTTGGGAGGACTTCCGGTATTGAGGGGCCACTGGAAACCAGGATTGAAGGATGGGTCCGACAGACAGAGGAGCAGGGCTCCTCCTTATAGTACCTGCTCCAGGTGGAGCGCAGGAGCACAGAACACCTAGCCAGCTTAGGGTGCCCTACTCCCACCTCCCCCATATCGGTGAGCCCCGCGGTTCCGGTTTCTTGTGTCAGGTCTAGGTCCTGCCGATCGATCCATGCGTTGGCACATGACAGGGTGACTCCTCTGTCCTGTCTGTCTGGTCTCAAACTGGAGTGGAGCTAACTAGGGTAGTAGCGGGGAGAAGAGCACACTTGGATTTGGGGCTTGGCCCTGTCACAGCAGGAGGCTTCTCCTCCGCAGGATCCTGTTTGTAAAATGAACCGGCTGCATAAGCCCAGGTCTGGGGAGCTTTAGGGGCCCACTCTGCACAGACCCTGACAATTCTCGGACTCAAATGTTATCAGCGCCCACTGTTTTGGGTTTGGGGCAGCAGAACCCTGACCTAACCTGACCAAGACCTGTTTGCTTATCTAGTCCTCACTGGAACCCTGCCAGTACCTTCTTTGCTGGCATAAGATCTTGTAGACCTGGTGCCTTTCATGGAAGGGTTAAACCTGGAGTGTATATATATATATATATATATATATATATATATATATATATATACACACACACACACACACACACACACACACACACACACACACACACACA